TAGGCCCTCCGGTGGAACAGGAATTCCGAGGCAACCGATCAGAGTTGCGCCAAGACATGCCAAGACACCATGATAGAGTTCAACACAGCATGGTAAATAACAGCATAGTATAGTAAATGGTAAGACTAATGAATATTAATATTATTACAATCACCTATCTACATCTAGTAAAAAAACGGTTCTAGCAAGATTATTGAGCTAAGGAAACTCGGCGGTGACTTTTATATACAACCTTAGTGAATGGATCAGTTCCATATTGTAATCCAGCAGAATAGGCATCCAGTATACAAGTACTCCTCAGCCAGTACTTGAGAAGTAAAAGTGATAGTATTTCCTCCAATGCTTTGGGAACTGTTCTAATTAGTGATGGCCAGTTGTATTGGCAATTCTTTCGTATAATCCACTTTGCTCTTCCCCATCTGTATTCAATCCAGTTAAGTTCACAGTGGTATTTTGGATAGAACAGACAAAGGTGAGCCCTCTTCTCAATCTCCTCTTGTAGGAGAGACTTCTGTTCTAGAAAGTCTGGCTGTACTGATAGTAGCCTCCTAGCACAGCAAGAATACCCACTATGACTACGCTCTTTCTTATCTTTCTTGCTCTTACAATCATGCCTTAATCCTTCTTGTCGCCAAAGACCACGCTCTTGTAGAATCTTTTTACATCCCTTTGGCATGCCTCTCCATTTCTCTGGTATAGCGAAATCATCCAAGTCAAAGCTCATTTTCTCAGTGTATAAAGTAACACCATATGGCTCATAAAACCATCCATCTCTTAAATGAGCTTGTTTTCCACCTGGATCCATATTCATAGGAGATACCCGGAGGGCATCTGGTGCATCGGCAGTATGAGAGGTTGCATGGTCAAATAGAAAAAGTGCCTCAGCTTTTGGGAATGTGGATTCAAAAATCGGAATTGCAATATTAAGTACCTGGTTTAGAAGATTTTCACCTTTCCACCATGATCCATTGCCAACTTTTATATATTCTGTTGCCTGCAGAGGATTGATTTTTAAACCAGGTATTGGTTCAATAGTTCGACTTTCTAGTTGGTAAGGAAGAGGAATTGTAGGAGGCATTTCGAGGCGATTACAAGAGAGAATAAAATCTGAAACCATAAGGCCCTGACCTTTGGACTGTTTTCCAATCATGTGCTTATCCTTATGAATCCAGCGATGATGTACACCATCATTGGAATGAAAGGTACATTCATCATGAGTTACTGGAATTAAAAGTGACTGTCCAGCAGGTAAGGAAGCATTGTTCAAAACTCCTTCAGCAGACCATTTTGGCATTCGCTCTTCCATCTTCTTCCACTGTGGCAGAAAGAACTGCTGACGATAGGAAACCACATCTGATTTCTCATGACCATCAATATATATACCTTTTCTTACTTGCTTCCACTCAAAGCCCAGCTTTTTCAACCACTTCACAGCTGATGATGCTGTTAAGCTTCTTTTCCCATTTGTATGTTTATCAATCAGTGCTTGATAAACACATGATACTCGTAATTCAGCATCAGATAAACTTGTCTGAGTTGTCCAATAATCAGAAACTGCTTTTGCAAGACCAGGTCCAAAAATGTCTAGCATTTTTCAAGAAGTTTAATTAGACCAATAGTTATATAAAATACCATAGACCATGAATACTTACTTTCTCTAGCATTTTCTATATATTCACGTACTGCCATCAGTGTGCCTTCATCATTCAGCATGCTTTGTGACTTTTCATGCTTTCCTCGCTAACTTAATACGATTGTTCGATCCATGATCCAAGTCTTCTCCCACTGAATAATACTTGCTGCTACATGCTTACTTCTGCCCCAACCAACTGCAGTATTTAGAGCTGCAGTTTTACATGGCATATCTGGATACTTTAACTACCAGTTCATAAACTGCAGTACTTGATAGTATCGTTCTTGATCTTAAATATTACCAGATCTTCTTGTTTTATATCTTAAAACTCTTCGTATATCAGCTACTCCTAGTATATCATAAGTACTATTAGTATATTATACTCAAAATTAAATCAAAATATATAATATGAGAACAAATATACCTTTTTGTAGAACAGTTACTCTAATTTCTTTTGTGACTCTTGGCCACTTCTCCTCTATCTCTCTCTCTATATCTTCCCAGTTATTCACTCCATTATCATTTCCCTCTTCTTGAATTTCCTGTAACCTTTGTTTTTCTTTTTCTTTTTGTGCTCTTCGCCACAAAGTACTCCTTGATGGTCCTCTTTTTTGACCTTGATTCTTCTCCATTAAACTTGAATTCCCTGTAGGTATAGTACATTCATCTTGTACTCTTAATACAGACTCCTCCTCTGATCCACTACTATGTGGTTGCCTAATCACTCTATAATCATTCTGAGAAACTTGATCAATAGAGTGCTGTAGTCAACGTATTTGATTGATTTGACCACCTTGGGCTCCAATTGTTCGTAAGCGTTTCCGGTTTCGATTTGGTACAGGCATTGTAATAGTAATGAAAATGATTGTTATTGAGAGTTGTTGGTAAATTCTGTAATATGTTGGACTCATATTTCTTTTTTATCATTGATTCTTATAATATCTCACTCATAATTCTCTATAGTATTTTTCAGCATGGTACTAGGTATATTTTATCACTTGTTTCACTCTCACTAAAATTTTCACTTTTTAATGTCTATCTCCTCTTGCTTACAATACATAATTAAAAAAAAAGTAGCACTTGTTTGTTCTCCTCAGAAGTAGCTTTCTTTCAGTGCTACTTTTTTTTAAAAATTTGTTGTTGTCATTGACTAGATACACATCGGGTTTTGCTGGTTTTGAGGACCCGGTTTGTCACAATTTGCACTATACCACCAAGTTAATAAACAACTCTGGTCATACCTGAACCCTAACGCCGGCGTTCTTTTGATGATCGGAAGGGGTATCATACACCGATGCCTCCCGTCATGGCGTTGAGCACCGCACCAACACAAAGAACAAAATCAGACCAACAATAGATGCCTTTGGTGTAACCCCCGCCAACGCGCCAGCTCAAAGCCCATGTTGGGTTTCTCGGCTCCGCAAATACAGTCTAACCCTCCCACCCATCATCCTTCCACCCATCAAATGCCACCCACCTAATGCCAAGGGTATGTTGTACTCGACATGTGCTATCGAATGCTGGGCTGTCCCTAAGAACATGGGAAAACCGGAGTACAGAGACACGAGGAAGAGCGGATGGAGTGATCTCTGAGCACCTGCAGCAAAATCTCACAAAGAGCAACATAAAGATTGATGATGGCAACAAGAAACTTAAGTCAAAGTTGGTTGCTATCATGGGCCCTTATGGCGATAGGGTAAGAGCTATTATCAAGGATAAGATCCGCTCCTTCCTGAAGGCATGGAAGAAGTAGATGAGGGAGGCGAAGTAGGTTGCAAGGCTTCAGAGGAAGCCAGAGGGTATGGAGAGGCATGCCGAAATAGTTAGTTAGCACAGGGAGGCGAAGGTGGTAGAGAAGGTCCCAAGACCTCAGAGGGAGTGAGAGGTTAGTCAGGGGCATGTGAAGGTGGTTAGCCTGTACAAGGAGGCAATGGGTGTGATGGAGGCGAAGAAAGTCGAAAGGCTTCAGCAGAAGCTGAATGTTAGAGAGAGGCATGCTGGAACTCTTAGCCAGCACAAGGAGAAGGAAAGGAAGCTACAGGAGAAGGCAATGGCGAAGAAGGAGGCCAGGGAGATGCATGCCAAGACAGTTCAGATGTATAGAGAGGTGAAGGGAAGGGAACAGCGAGAAATTTAAATGGCAAAAACAGAGTAGGAGGCGATGAAGGGTAGGGTGTAATCATAGTTTTGCACTGGTAATGTAATAATATTTTCATATCCTGTGTGTTAACTACTGGTGGGTGGGGTGTATCTATATATGAGGCGTTCCAAATTTTGTACATTATTTATCTGGCTCTGAAAAAGTTATTATCCATAGTAGTCAATGATGGGGGTTCAAGGGTCTGTGGGGCATTGTTCGAAAAGGTTGAGTGATCGTTGAGGAAAAGGTACCACCACCACAATCTCTTCCAACACCCATCCAGCAGTTGTGATAACTAGGGAGGATGTATGTATCCATGTTTTTGGTCAACTTGTGTACAGGAAACTAGTAGCGAGGGTCGGGACTGGCTCGAGATGAGTATCTTGGGCTTTTGTCTTTTGCTAGGGAGTGGGGGGCATCAGCATGGCTTTCTCTATCTATCGTAACATTATTTATCAGGGTTCCATACGTACCTTTCTACATTCCACCAACACTCGACTGAGCCTGTGCAGTAGACCACTATCCATCGCAGGAAGAAAGGGGGCCTGAAAAAAAAAAAAAAAGCAAGGTATTTGTCTATCGAGTGATGCTTTGTGGTCTAGCTGAATAAGAATATATTGTAGTTTATCAACCCAAGAGAGGGGGCAAATGGTTTGCACAGGACATCCAAATCCCTATCCATCACTGGGTGTACCCGGTAGCTTCGCAGGAGAAACTGTCTCTCTGTTCGCTTCACGTTTGCTGTTCCGAATCTGTTGCCAGGTGCAAGAAATGGAGAGGCAAAGATGTTTTCCTCTGATTCACTGTGGGATGGAAAATCATCACCACGCTCAGGCTCTTGGGTTACTTCTTTTCTCGACAGCTGAGTATAGGAGTTGGAAGACTCCTGAGATACTGGCATATTATCATTGTTGAGTGGGCCTTTTAGCCAGACGACCTGAGGTTCTCTCTGACTGGTCTTATAAGGTGTGCTAACAAGGGGTGATGGTTAATTGATGTCTCCTAAGTATGATATTGTACTATTCATGCAGCCATGTTATTAAGTCTCTATATAGTTGTTCACACTAGTCTTAAGGATCCTTATACCATCATGCACTGCTTTCTTTCTGTTTGGGCCAACAAAGGGCCAGGAATGTTTATCTATTATACAAGGGAGAAGAAAAAAGAAAAAGAAGGGGAGAAAAAGGCGTGACTACCACTATTTATCTATATTACAGGCATTGTCCACTATGTGGAGCCAGCGGCAGGGGAGGGTTGGAAATCGCAGTCCAGCACATTCGCTCTTGCTTCATGAGCTTCGAGCGCTGAACCACACCGTTCCACTGCTAACTGTCTGATATAAGTTCCTAGTTCTCTGTGGAAGAGACCCCAGTCAAAGCCAATATGATGGTCCTCTTCAAAGGAGACATCCATAAAGTCAGAGAGGTAAAAGAGACTATAGGTCATGTTATCAGTGTTTAAGTGGTTCTATACAAGTTAGCTATATCAGAAACATCATGTTTACCAGTCTTGAGGAGTCACTTACATGGGGGCCGAATGTGCGAATTGCCCATTGAGACGTGGGATGACGTTTCCAGATTTCGGTCGAACTGGTAATTTTGCCTACCCAATGTAGACCTTTATAACAAGTATGTCCATGGACCTCATCAAGGGAGAAATGTTCCTGGGAAACTTCTTCAGATGGAGGAAATTCTAGGTTGTCAAACTCGTTATTGGTAAGTCGTGAGGTTGGGTTTTGGTAAACAGGATCCTCATTCATTTTTACTAGCATTACCGCAGACACGATGTCGGTTTCCTCCAACCACATTCTGGCATCCCAAACCAGATCCTTATACATCTCAGCATAACTAACTTCCAATATGAACTTTACCTCCAGAGTTCCTGCTGCATTTTTCAACTCAACCATGGTATCGGGTATTTTTCGCGACCCTTTGTAACCACATTTAAAGGAGCAGAATTTTTCATTGTAGATGATGGCAATTCTCTGATGAAGTCATATGGGGAGAGTACTTCTTGCTAGATTGAACCATTCAGAGACAGTGCTGATAACCTTTTCATGAATTGGGGTTGGCATATGTTGGATGATGAGTATGGAGGTTAAGGCATTAAACAAAATTTTCAGAAACCTGATACTACTTAGTAATAGACTTTAAAGTAGAGTCAAGAGGGAGTCCTACTTTTCGTCATCGCCTACATCTAAGATCTCGCTGAATCTGATAAAATCAGATTTAGGCATTTGCATTCTTAGCTCCAGTCCCTCCTCACCGCTGGGAGAGCAAAAACTGTCACCACCCAACTGCCAGTTTTGAAATTTCCGTACATAGTCATGAACAGATACCGATTCAGGATCTGCAATAGATGGGCTCGGCTCAACAGGACTGGAAGTGTCATCGGTAATGCGCTTTTCTCTATGGCGATAAGGCAAACTTGAGGTCTCAATTGCACGCAGATGTAGAAAATTGTGGTGTACAGGAGCTGGTCCAGGTGTACCTCTCAGCAGTGCGAAATAAACATTTGGCGGTGTGGGGGGGTATCCAGGTACACTGTAACTCTCAAGCCCATCATAGCTCTGGGGTTCATCAGCAAAAAAAAACTCTGCGTCTGATGCGTGGGCGGCGCGTCCTAATGCCGAGTTTTTTTTTTTTGCGTCCGCTGCGTCCTGTGCGTCCTGATTCTGGTTGCAACGCCCCACTGCGTCCCGTGCATCCGGGCTTCCAGCCCCGACGCCCCCCTACGTCCCCTGCGTCCCGTCACCACTCCCTCACATGCTCAGCTCCGGTACCCTCTGGCCCCTCGGGTGAAGGTCTGGATCACGTCCCTACGTTGCTACTGCAAAACCGTCGCTCTGATCACAGCCCTCGCGGCCTTGCGTCTGCCTCACCACCTGACGCTCAGCCCCGGCCTCCATCCTCAGGATTCTTGCCTGGCGCCCCCCTTGGTCACCGCGACATCCAGACCACGTCCTACGGCAGCCAACCCTCCTTTCAAACCCCTACAATGAGCTCCCAGTGTCACCCCCTCCTGACGCTCCGCTCCTGGCTTCTTTCTCCGGATTCCCTCATGGCGTCGCGCGACAATCCTACAATCCGTCCAGTTCCTCCTGCCTGCTCTCGCCACTTCGGGATAACGTCAGACTTGAAACGCAACACTCGCTACACTCCCGATTACGCTCTGCTGTGTTGTCTGCTGGTGGCGATCCGTATGAGTGCCTCCCTACATTGCCGCGACGTTCATATCAGCTGATAGACATCGGAGCCTGCCTCGCGTCCCCTATCCACGATATCGACGACTCCTCACGGGCAAACATGTCATGGTTCCTCACAGCAGGGTTGCGGATCCTCCGGCGGACACTTGATTTCTAGCACTTTCTCTTAATCATATTCTATTATTTCTATGTACAGCTTGCTATCAAGAGACCTTTATCATTCTATGCCCATATTGCCTGTTTGTTGTCGGAGGATTCGCCTCTGGTGTTAGAAGTTCTGAGTGTCGTATAATCAATGCGTCTGCACGACGTCTGTTAATATATTTCATTAAACGTCCTTAAATCAATGCGACTGTTGACCAGCCATCGCCCGTCTGCCTCCGGAACCAGGTGGGCTTGCCCAAGTATCGTGCCTATGTCCAGTATGGTAAACCTTCTCGCATCGGGTCTAAGCTGAACGGTGACAAGATCGTGTAATTCTGACGGACGCCCAGAGTTAACTGCACTCAATATCTGAACACAAGCGAGTCGATGTATTGTCTTCTGGCGCCTACAATCTCGCAGTTTGAAGAGTGCCATGAGCTTTCCCCGAAGACGGCCGCGGAGGGCACCATACATTTGCTCCCCGCCTGCCTGGACCCAAACCCAATCATTCCGACTAGCCTGGTTTCGAAAAAGCCCGGATCCCGTAGATCTTGCCCGGTGGATGTCGTAAATATCGGTTTCCTGAAAGGCGGGAACTGGGATTTCGAGTTGCGTCAGTAGTTCAAAGGGAAGGAGTCGAAGTATGGCAGGATCGTCGGGGAGGCGACGCTCTACGGGCAGCGTCTGGCGGCTATATCGGATCAATTCAGTACTCATGTTTTGGGTGGTGATACTCAGGGTATTGCAAAATTCGACCAGACATGCAACATCACCACGGTGCCCCTTCAGGACTCGAAGACGGGACTCAGCCCCCGGTGCAGGTCCGGTACCGGTTTTGTTCAAAAGGTCGACAACCTCTGCGGGAATATGAGCTCCTTGGCATCTTAGTGAATCTAGGTTCAAAAGCCTCATTCTGATCGCGTGTTGTCGGCTATAGCTGCTCAGAATCTGCCTGGAGGCGTCGTTTTTATTCGATCGTCGCCATCCGTCCTTAATCTGATCCTTATGCGCCAGCTCCCCAAATTCAGTTGAATACATGGGAATATTTCCAAACTGGTATATGTGATCACGGTAGTGAGATAGCAGATGCATCTTGATGAAGTTGAAATGACATTTTGACTGAATCAATTCCATTCGTTGGTCGTCCTCCTGCCCGCGATGCTGCTCGCGTATTTTCCGTACCTTCGACCTGGGGTGTGATTCATTCAACTGGGCTTGCTGATGCCGTATCCCCCGGACATAATCCTTCAGTTCAGCTCGTGTCTGTTTCGACATCCGAAATTCTAAGAAGATATCCTTCGTGGCATGAAACCTGTCGAGATATTGTTCCATATAACCTATAGTCTCTGCTGTATGACTTTTACATTGCGCCATCAAACTGAAATTGAGTAATGACCCGACGCAAGCAAGCGCACGTTTGAAAGGTAGCTGTTGCGCACCGTCCGGCAGTCTCAACGCCACAGCTAAAACTGCTAAAAGACATCGCCCCAAATTCCTCATCTCTTTCCCTTGCCACTGCGTAACCTCACGGTAAGCTTTTTTGGGAACAAAGAACTCGGGGTACGGCCGCAAAGACTTCCAAGCATTATCAAATGCTTGTAGTCGCCCATGTTTCTTGAGAAATCCTTGAATCCAATCCATCATGTGCTCAAACAGTCCCAGGTAAATTGTATGAAGGAGATCGGACTGGTGCAAGTCAGGCGCAGACACCCGTCGGAGCCCATGGCAAACGTTCCGCCCGATCTTGACACCCAGAGCGTCGAGTGTGGGGTGGGTCACGTCTGAATCTGACATCTGCGACTTGTCGCGAAGTTGCTGCTCGAGTTCCTCGTATGTCGCATAATCTCGGGCCTGATATGCCGTGTTCGCGTTGGCACCTAGCTGGTGTCGACGAACCTCACATTTAGGACAGGCGTTGGATTTTATTCCATGAAGGGCGACGTTTTCCGTATGGTCCGCAATCCACGCAGCCAATATCGGGAAGCACCTCCGGACGTTCCCATCCGCACAGTCAATTGGGACGCCATCGCGCGTAGCATCTTGCAAGGGCTCAAATAAGAGTTCGAATACGCCTTTAAGGGTGTCGGCATTGATTTCTGTCTGGGATCTGTTTGCTGAAGCCGACTGGGGTAACTAAGGAGGGACTGGTAGGAGCGCAAGAAGGAGGATAGCCATGGATCCGGGCCTGTTACGCCTAGTCGACGCAAGATTTCCTATCGTAACGTACACCGGCCAGGCCTTCTTGTCACCGGAGAAGTTGGTGAGATGGGTCTGATCGGACATCCCGATAATTGGAACAACCGTGGCGCCGTGTGGAAGGGTTTCCTGTCATAGGTTAGCCAGATCTTTAGTCAAAAGGTGATAAGAAATTGGTATAGTACTTGAACGT